TGTACTAACCAAACTACATTGGGCATCCTTCGCCAAAAAAGAACCCCTACATTAGGCATGATCAGTTGGCCCTCAGTGGTCGCCCAAGGAAGAACAAGCTAACCTTTGCCACTGTGTTATTCTAGGAACTTTACAGGTTGTACTATACTACTCTATTCAATGTTTAGTGCCTAAAAAAACATGCTCCACTATTTTGACTACTACAAGTACTTGTCAAACTAAATTAAATTCATTCGTTTCAAGATCTGCAAAAAATTCTAGTCCCTTAAGGTGCTACACCAAACTAGGTTGTTTCTGGAATAACTTGTTTCCTTTAGGATGCACTCTAGCATATATTCGTTCATAAATTTGCTACTGATGCCTAAGGATAGTAAGCGTATGGAAAGATCGAGCTGTCTTGTGGCTTAATACCAGAACAATGCTATGGAGGGAAAGAAAGAAAAAAGTAGAATGTAGCTACGGTCCTACGGATAGGTATTTCAGTAATTCAGTTCTCTAATTTGACAATGGTAGATGGTAGGATTAAGGCAGTGTTTAATTAATTTTGCTGTATCATTTTTTTAATAATTTCAATTTTTGTTGGTCACCTGTAGCGATGCTATTTTCAACTTCGTTAAGTTCAAGCTTTTGGTTTTCTTTGTCGATCAAGTTACAACAGAAAAAAAAACTAAACATGATGGTGGAACTACATGTATTAAGCGCTGATATGAGTAGGACCAGGGCACATCACCCTAGCGACCACAACTTTTGTGCTTTAGGACTAGGCTACAGGGGTGTCCTCACGTCCCCAGCAAAAGAAAAGGTGCCACAGTTCTGGATTTGGGCTGTCCTAAGCCACAACACATAGCCACTTATAGCAACAACGCATCATTAGATAAGCTAAGTTGGACCCTCCACCACTTTGCTGTTAAGGACACCTGCCTCGGCATTAATGGAAGCCTCATTGGTGGATGTGTATTGTTGTGTTAAGCCCGACATCTCACATCTCTATGAATGATTACATAAAATTTCTCTTTGCTTTCTTAGTATGGATGTGCAGGTGTAATTATGAATGGCATAACACAGAGGTTAATCTTTAATGGATGTGCAGTACAACCCTAGCCTAGGAGGAAGAGAAATGTTACTCTTGAATGTGCTACCATTCCCACTGGCTTTGACCTAAAGTGTGGTTTCCTATATCTATGTCGCGCTATGCATGTTCCTACTAAGATAAGTGTTCACATGCTGCTAATAAGATAAACAAGTACTTTGAACTTACTATTATCCCATCATTCAACTTGCATTTTACTCTACTGTAAGAGTTATTATGGTTTATGCTTGTTCCATGAATTTTTTACTGCTGGCTTCTTTTGCTTTCTACACAGAAACTATCAATCTACAACAATATATGTGGATTTAGAGAATGCAACTTGTATTCCTTATAAAATTCTGTTACTGTGCCTCACCTGTAAGTTGAATCAAGGACACTTGAATGAACACATCTCTGTTCACATAAATCACAGGTTCCACCAGCTGCCTGAATTTGACCAACTAAAGAAAAGCTGCCGCAGACGTCTTGCAGGCCACAATGAACGCCGGAGGAGGCCACCTCCTGGACCTCTTGCATCACGATATGGTCGCCTTGCTGCATCATTCGGTGGTAACAAAGTTGCTTTATTTATTTCTACTTTGTGATGTGAGTGACCAAAGTTTCAGTTTTTGTAACTGCTAATTTTCCTATGCTTGATCCAGAAGAGCCCGGCAGGTTCCGAAGCTTTATGTTGGATTTCTCATACCCAAGGGTTCCAGGCACCATGAGGGATGGGTTTCCGGCAGTTCGACCTGGCGAAAGGGTGCCTGGTAGTATCCAGTGGCAAGCGAGCTTAGATCCTCATCATCATCAAAGCGAAGTCGCAGGATACGGTGCCCACTCATATGGGAGCCAGGGTAGCTCGTCGTCGTCAAGGCCACCGGTGTTCCCTGGTCCGGAGCTCCCCCCAGGTGGATGTCTTGCAGGAGTCCCCTCAGACTCTAGCTGTGCTCTCTCTCTTCTGTCAACTCAGCCATGGGATACTACCCACAGCGCCGGCCACAGCCATGCTGGATCAATGCCTGCAACAGCAGGTTTTGACGGCAACCCTGTGGCACCCTCCCTCATGGCGAGTAGCTATATTGCGCCAAGCCCCTGGACTGACTCCCGGGGCCATGAAGGCGGGCGGAACGTGCCTCAGTTGCCACCTCACGTCCCCCTCAGCGAGGTGCACTCTGGCTCAAGCAGCCATCACGGCCAGTTCTCAGGTGAGCTCGAGCTTGCCCTGCAGGGAAACAGGCCAGCGCCAGGGTCAGCGCCAGCGCTGCGCAATGATCAGGGCTCCACGGGCACGTTCGACCAGGCCGGCAACACAATGGACTGGTCGCTCTAGGAGGCCAAATAAAGTGCAGCAGATCATAGCCGCACAGAGAGATGGAACTGAAAGCCTGATGCTGCACGCTGTTTGCTAGCTTAGAGCATCCAGTGATGAACTAATGCAATGTCAGGAGACTAATTTCTTTTGTGGTTGTCCATGAACTCATCAGTCGCGTCTATGTAGACCTCCATGATTTGAAGTTATCAGTACGCTTGTCGGGGACTTTGCTCGATGTATTAATCTCATGTTCATCCTGAAATTTGCTCTGTTCAGTTTTTGGGTGATTCTTGAAAATATTCTGCTTGTTTGATGGTCCGTCCATGCTGCTGGTACTGTGGTCTTTACATCCTGTGATCCAGAGCAGGTGCATCTTTCAGGAGAATGACCTGGAGAAAAAGCAACCATGCCTCCATGCATCATTTCTACTGAATATTGTACTTGAGGCTTCAGAACTTACATGCCTCTTTCCGCTGTACCCTCCAATGTTGCCTGGCATTGCCAAGAATCGGTTCCAGGGGAGTGTTGTCTATGTAAAGCGAGACCACAGGCACAGCGTGGCTTTGCAGCATACTCTTAGCACCAGTGGTGTGGTGTTGATAGACTGACAGAGGTCAGAATGAGATCCATGCAGCAGCTTCTTTCAAATCTACAAAAAATTCTCAGTGGAGAACAGTGGTATATTCCACACAGAACAGCCTCTTCTTTGCTGTGAAAGAGATTTTTTTTTGGCAAATTTATTTCCATTTGTCCAATCACAGTTTGTTGTGTAATTGTTTCAATTTCTTTCACTCTTTTGTTCAATCACTGTTTGTTGAGCAGGTGTACCGATTTCTTTCCAGTGACAGTGAGTGTTTTGGATCTGTTGTACAGGTTGGAACTGTAGCTGCCGGTATACAGCGTAATTCAGGGTCCAAACAGGCCGAGGAACCCACACTAAAAAGAAAACCAATGAAACCGCATCAACCTCAAATGCGGTAGCCTGTAGCCATATAGGACTATGTAGCTCCTGCGACAATGAACAGCGATCATTCCAGGCTTACCATCGGTGATCATGGATCCTTAGACGACATACAGTACAGAGATGCTCGAGAAAGTAGGGCTGGGCATTCACGAGTCTCAACTACAAACTCGAGCAGATGTCCAAAAATATAGCCCCTTGCTCTGTTGGAAAGCTGATGCTTCATTATGCCCTGCAGATTAGAAAATTAACTGTTAGAACATCAGAGCTGCAATTTCTACTCAACAAACTGACTGCACACATGCAAGTATTCTTTAAGTTTTAATGCACACAACATGCAGGTGTTTTGGTCAAGGCAGCGCTGGTATGATTCTACCAGATGAGAGGACACTGGTATTAAAGACATAAATTTGAATAGCGTCGCAGATTGTCAGTGCTTATTTGCCAAGGTAATGTTATATGCTTTTCTATCGGGAAACAATTAGTCAACAACTCTAGGTAAACAAATTGAGATAAGTTGAAATATATACCGAAAAAGTTCTAAGTCGAGGAGCGTAAAATGTCTCCATTGAAGAATCCAGCCAAAGTTAATTTTCTTATTATTAAATACAACAGCTGAGGTTGAAGAAAAATACCCAATTTTACAGACTGGAACATTGAATTTGCTGACAGTAAAACATTATGGAGCAGGAAAAACAGTGAGGATTTAGGAACAATGTTCAGTTATGTAAACCATTGACCACAAAAGAATATAAAAAATCGATATCGTTGTCTACTTAGCCAAATAAAAAAAAAACAAAAAACAAAACAACTCGACCTGTGAGGGTAAGACAGCCCTGGGCATATTGCATTAAGAAGACCTCACGCAGGTCCAGAAGACCCCTCAACCCCTGCCCCACCCATACACAACGCACTGTAGCCCATGAGAGAACAACGACGACCATGGTTGAATCAACTTACTTACCTACCAACTCAGCTAGAGGCCCTTTCACACTTAGCCAAATCAAACACACAAAACAACGAATAACAAGCAAGAACACAAGCAAGCAAATAACTGCAAACATCCTTGAGACTGAAATCCAGCTATTAGTGTAACTGTTTTATTTTCTACATAAAGCATCAAGACTTGGAATTGCACGAAAGAGAATGTCTTGGAAAATTTGATGCATGTATCTCCTTTTAGGTCCAATCACTATTTTTCATGGCATTCCTTCTCTTTTATTTCCAAAGACGGTACAAGTTGAAAATGTTGCTGTTGGAGAACTGTCTAATTCAAAGAGCAAACAGATGAGGAACCTACATCAAAGAAGGCCAATTGAATTGCCAGGGTCCAAAGAGTACAATGATGAAGTTAGGGACAATAGGAAATAAGAACCGGCGTCATGCTAAATAATGCTGCAGCATATGGTATTATGGTACCTTCTATGATGTTCAACAGTGATCATGGCCCTTTCCAGGCATTTCTTCAGCAATGATGGATCCTTAGACGACACGATACTGACAGCAATGTACAGATATTCCATTCCAGCATTGCACGGTGGAAGTTTCATAAAATAGACTTCGACTTTTCCGACTACAAAATCGAGCAGATGTCCACAAATATAGCCCCCTCTCTCACTCAGTTGGAAAGCAGATACAAAAATGGCATCCGCTTATCACAGGTCAAAATCACAGTTTGCTTGTTGACCACTGGCAACATTTCTCTTCTGGCTCTTAAGTGCCTTTGTGCCTTGATGAGGGACTCCGAAGATGTAGCTACGCTCCAGTTTTGCTGCATAGCATATCATATGCAGACGCTCCTTGTGGCTTTCCATTCCACTCCCATCTTTCCAGACTGACGAAGAAAAAATACACTTCAGTTTTCATATTGAGATATTTATCACTGCAACAAGCCGGTGGGGCAGCACCAACAGAAATGTCCCTAAGGAAATGCGAAAGGGTCCCAATACCTTTGTTTTTTTGGAGAAGTCCCAATGCCCTAATCATCCTAGTGACTTGAGAAGTCTAGAAGCACCAAAACACCTGCATGTTTGAGGGAGCCATGCCAATTATTCAGACACTCTGTTGTAAACCTAGTCAACGAGTACAGTTTGTGGTGCTTGGTTGGTGCTTCCACACTCCATGAACTCCTCCTTAGCTCGCTCACACCTGACACTTAATCGGGTGGTGGATGGTGTTTTCTTTTTTCAACAACAGAAGCTTTATTAATTTCAAGATCGTTACATCGAGTTGATATAACGAGCTTCAAACACTCCAGGATACACATAGTATCACAAAAAGATTTAAAAAGTTTACATTTAGATACACTAATAGTACTCGATTTGTAGACTAGACTGCCATCCATGTGCCCTTGTGGTGGATGGCGTTTTCTGATCGTTTTGGCCAGTTTAGTTCCATGTACAAGCTGTGTATCCACAAGGAGATGCGAAAAGCCTGCGAAACAGCATGTGTTAGACGTGCGTTTCCCAGACGCCCTTCAGCACCGAGGCCAAATGTTTATTGGACAACGCATGCGAATCGACATGTTATGGCAGGGAGACTTGGAAGACCTTTGTATTGTGATGCTTTTATAACCCTGTTTGCTAGATGGGTTGCCGTTTTAGCCAATTGGCCTCCTCCTCTGTACTTTTTTCCTCTCTAAATAAAATGACACACAGCTCTCCTGTTTTACTCGAGAAAAAATATTGAGATATTGCACAAGTAGCAATTAATAGTGAATTGCATGGCATCACTCTAGAGGATATGCCTTCCAGCACTTTCAGGGCAACAATTCTGTTTTGTGTCAACTTAAGGTCTCATCACTCCGATATAAAATAGCAAGAAACTATTTAATTAGAAGTATAAAAGTAGCCAATACGGCCAGAAAAACAAGCTATTCTAGTGCTTATTGTGTCTGTATGATAAGGACAAGAGCACAAAGCTTGTGATGCTCCAATGTATTGCGAATCCAATGTACACCAATCATGACCGAACATCATTGCAGTGAATATAGAACCATCACCTGTTTGTATCAAAGACAATTCTTTGTCACCTTCACACAACAAATCAATGGTCATCCTCATCAGGGCCGGGGCATTCCTTTGCCAGCGCTTCTGGTGATTCATACTGAACAAAGGAGGAAAAGGCATCCAGTTTAAAAGGTATGGAAGATGCTGTATCAAAAAAAGTTTACTGAGTTTCCCGAACAGAGCTCACCTTGCATCCACAATAAAGGCAATACTGGTACTGGTCACGCAACTTAGACAGTATGTTCTGCAAATCCTACAACACAAAACATGGCATGTTAATCTCTTCCTCTTTGGCAACACCAGCACAGTTAGTAAAGTTCAGAATTCACAATCCATATCCATGCTACTCCTCACTGCCTTCACACCACATGGATATGAAAAGGCAGGCATACTATTATCAGGCACCCATAAGCATTTATGCTTGGTCTTTTTGAAGCCAAAAAAAGAAAAGAAAAAACAAGGTCGAATTATTATTATTTTTTGTATCCGAAACATGGTTTTGACGAGTTGACGACAGTGGTGACAAAATGGCTAAACAGTCATATACCTGATTTAATACCATGATCAGTTTTGTGTTAACTCCACTACATTCCCGGGAATCCCATAAAAATTTTACAGACTTCACTAAGATCGAGTTCTGTAAATCATAATGCATAGCACAGTCACATTGGGCCTGTGATCCTAAATAATGTGACCAACATATAACAAGGAAAAGTGTAAAATTGACTACCTCTTCAGTGATCACCTCCTCTTCCTCCTCTGCCCCTTTCTCCTTCTCCACCCCCTCCGGTGCCGGTGGCTCCACCTCCCGGTTCTCCAGCTGCGCGAGCGCCCTCTCGGCCTTGCGGTAGTCCCAAACCACCCTCCTGCCCTTCCACTGCGTGCTCTTCCGCGCCCTTAGCTCTACCGCCATCTCCTCCTGCTGCCTCCGCTCCCGCTCCACCACCTCCCGCGACTTCTCCACCGGCGCAAGCGCCGGCGCCGGCGCCAACGCGGGCTCCTCCGCCCCGAGCCCCGCCCGCGAGCGGCGGATCTCGATGCCGACCGGCTCGGCGGCGGCGCCGCGGGACTCGGGATCGTACCCCATCTGCTTCAGCATCCTAAACCCTACGTTGCTCTCCGGGATGGCTTCCGCGAGCCCCGCCATCGTGCGGGCGTCCTCTTCCCGCTGCTTCCGCTCGCGCTCCTGCCGCCGCCGCTCCTGCCACGGCACACCCTTCCCGCGCTTCGCCTGCGCCTGCGTGGATGGCTGCTTCCGGCGCCCGAGATTCTTCGGCGGGGAAGAGGAGGACGGACTCGGCGGAAGGAAGCGGGAGAGGTCGCCCATGTAGTCCTCGTCGGCGTCCGGCTCCATGGCGCGCGCCGAGCGTCAGTGGTCGGGGTCGGAGAGGAGGGAGACGGGCCGTGGAAACCGTGTGTGGAGGTTGGTCGCCGACGAGGGGTAGCGGGGCTTTGGTCAAGTCGGTTTCACAGAGTAATGGGCTGGGCTTTAGTTTTTATTGGGCCTTTGGAACACACCGAGTGTTCTTGCCAATTTTAGCGCTTCACTAGCAGTGCCAACGAAAGGAAATTTGAATGTGAGCGGGAATGCGTTTTTTTACCTCACATATATGTAGTTCTTTACTTGTCAGAGTATTATGAAAAAATTAATATCAAAGGAGTTGTGCATCTCCTGTGTAACACCCCGGTGTTATGACCAGCATTTAGGCACTGCAAATCATGCATATTATGCTTCATCAAGCATCCTAATCATACATGCCTAATCATGTAAATAATAACTGAAACCCTGCTTCGAAACATTTGAAACATGCACATGAAACATGAATGTTGCATACACTTGTTTAGAGTTATGTTTGCCCAAATTATGCTTGCTAGGTTAGTAAAACATGTTTGGCTATGATTGTAAATCACCTAGAATTATTTAGCGCAATTTTTGAAGCAAATTTTGTATTCAAGTTATTGCCAAATTTTGCTTTAAAAATAACTCTCCAAAATTAGGGTTTTGAGTTAAAATTGACTTTTATTTTATAATTCAAAATCTAGCAAGAATTGGACTTTGGTCATAAAAGCAAAGTTGTAGATGATTAAATTCTAAGCAATTTTTATTTTTGGGACATTTTCAAAAGATGTCATTTTCTTGCTCAAAATAATATTTGAAAACCGGTATTTGAAAATTTCTTAAAAATAGAAATTGAGAAAAATGTTTTCTCCTTTCATGGTCGTCGCCTCCTTCTCGCCCACGGTGAAAGCCAAGCCCGACTTTGCTGCCGCCCACCTTTTCATCGCGCCCGCGTTCATTGACCAAATTGCGTTGCTGCTTCTGCTGCCCAACTATTCTGGCTCTCGCTTTCGTGCGTTGTTAAGGCAATTGCTTCCATGCGTCAGCGTCCGACCTCTGTCGAGCCTGCTGGCCACCGCCATGCGTGGCGACCATCATGCGGCAACAACGCCACGCATGCAGCCACCCTGACCTGCCTCGCCCTCCACGCGCGCCTTCTTCCGCCAAACCATCTTGCCTCCTCCTCATTCCTCCTCCCGCTTCTCTCGAGACCTTGGCAAGAAAGCGGCGGCAAGCGCCACGCCAAGCTCGCCCACCGCGCGCGCATCGCCGCCGGCGGTGATACCCCCTCCCACGCCTCCATTCCTCTATTCCCGTCGCCTGAAGCTCCGCCTAGCATCCCTGCCTCGCTTGCGCTCGCTTGCGGCCGCCGTCGTCGAGGTAAGGACCAAGCTCGGCCGCCTCCTTCCGCTCCGGCGAGCGCGCTGCCGCGGCCAGGTGGTTCGTCACGCCGCCGGGCCACCTCCACCATCCCAGCCGATGTGGCTCGCGCGTGGCGTGCACGCTGGCACCACCCGCGCCACCGGAAGGGCTCGTCGCCTGTGAGCACCGGCCGGCGGAGCCCCTCCCCTGCCCCCGGGTCGCTGACCCGCAGGGCCCAGCCGCAGTGGCTGGCGAAGGCCCCGGGTGACTGGCCAGTGGGCCGGTTGACCCGCTGGGTCCCGCCTGGCAGCCCCTCTGGGTGCATAGCACCGTGTGCACCCAACAATTTCGTCAGCTCGAGTTTAAAAAGGATTTCAAAAATGAATTTTCAGATTTCTACTTAAATGCTTTGGAAAATGTTTGTGTACTTATTTTGGCTCCAAATTTGTTGAAACAAATTTTGCTAGGTTCCTTGCCACCAGATCTACATGATAAAATTATTGCATGTCATTTTTGAGATAATTTTCTGTAGAGCTTTATTTAATCCTTGATATTGCTGATAACTTGAAAAATGTGTAGAAAAACCTATAGGCTTCAGAAAAATATGATTCCAAGTTTGTTAATCTTCTTATGTAATGTACTTCCTAGGAAAAATATGTGTCATGCATGTACTGTAGAAAAATTATGAGGTGTAGTTCAAGTGCCTTTAATGGCTGGTTTTTGTTATTTTTGCTAGAGAGCAAAATTTGTATAAAACATGCATGTGATAATTTTTGTACAGTGATTATTTGCTGTGTACAACATAGGAAAAACATTTCCTCTGTTGTTTGACACTCTTCACAGTACAAAGTATTTTTAGGTTCATAATCATGCCATAGCTTGTTATTTTTGTGTAGGCTAATCCACTCATTCAAATACCATGAAAATCTGATGGTAGACTACTTAGGGTAGTACTGTGATATGGTAATTTTCTAAGATTTTTCTAAGCAATAAAAATAGATGTTGCTATTCAAACCTATTATTAATTAGGGTTTAATCAAGTGTTGCTTTATGTGTGATTAAGAAATTAGTGAAGCTTTGGTGTATCTTTGAAGCATTTAATGAGAGGTGTTGACTTAACATATTAGTAGTAGAAGAGAATGCAGTAGATGACATGTGCTTGTAGTATATGATTTTGGATAATGTTGACTACCTTGCATTCAAGCATATCCAATGTATTCATCTCATCCGATGCACTGATTGCATAAGCACCTACGCACATTACATCATACAGGATCACAAACCGAGAACCCAGTCTTCATACCCGAGGAGCCCGAGGAGCAGCTCGAGGTGCAGCCGCAGGAAGTGCCCGAAGCCGACGAGGAGGACGTTGAGGAACTTCCGGAGTGCCCCGATCACCGCCCGAACTCCTTCGAGAGAGGCAAGCCCCGGAGCATTTTCTCCTCGGTTTGCAATTATTAATTAACTGCTTTACTTTAATTGATGCATTACGTTCAGGAGTTGTTTGCAACCGTTACTGCATTATACCTTGTCTACCTTTGTTATACCATATCCTTGTTACTCTGGTATCCGCAGTCGAGTCAATGCTTAGCTGGCTTAGACCGGTAGAAGTCGGGTGATTTTCTGTCACCTGCGAGCTATAGGTGGTTACCTAGATCTGCTTGGATGACTATGTAGTCATGGTATAACTAAGTGTTAAATGAAGTTGAGACCGGACGGAGACTTACAGAGTTTTGGACTGTAGTGCTTTCTGTCTGTGTCGATTAAGGACCGACCGTTGTTGGGCCTCGAGTCATGTTGAACGCATGCCTTACATTTAGCTGGCCGAATAAAGTACCTTTCGACCACGAAGCTGGGAGATTATTCGGGCTGAGTAGATTGCCCGTAGCGCACTATGCCGGAGCAGGTGTGGTAGGACACGGGGGCGAGATGATAAGACCAAAGTGCAGTCGGTCGGCCCCCGGGTACATGTGGTTCCTAGCAAACTCGAGCTTCCTGGATAGTTGACTCAGTGACCGATACCTCAGTTTAGCGGGTGAGTGAGGTTTGTGTAAGGAATAAATCACCAGCTGTTTAGGAATCGATTCGAATCGCCATCGCTCCTGGATAGTGAGCACTTGACTTGAGTTACTTCATCGTAGTAATGTTGATGGAACACTTGGACAGTTATAATGAATATGACATTATGGAAGTTGATTAATGATCATGGGTTATCATTATTTGCTTAATCTCATGTTTACTCTAGTATAGGTGCAAATGTAGTCGAGAGGTTAATAATAATTAACTTGACAATAATGCTTTTGGAAAGGTTCTTGAAATGCTAAAAATGCTTCTTTTTGCAAATGAGTCAGCTACCCTACTATAAAGCCCTTCATATTCCTTGGTGTCACTTATTTTCGGTCATGTCGGGTAAGTCTAGCTGAGTACCTTCTCGTACTCAGGGTTTTATTCCCACTTGTTGCAGATAGGCAGATGTATTACGGCTACTGTATCAACTGTCTTTATCCTACGATGGGTGATGCTTAGGACCATGGGCATGGTCATTCCTTACGTCTCGTCTGATGCTTTTTGTTGGAGATGATCATTAGCTGGCACTGTATTTGAACTCCGTGTGAGTGTGTGTGGTTTTGAACAAATGGCTTCCGCTACTTTTATTCGAACTCATTTTGTAATAACTATGTTTAAACTCTGATGTATCTGAGATGCAAACTTTTATGTAATATGTGATGGTGACCGCTAAACTTATTATGATCTTGGCTGGGATGTGAGTTGGTTTGAAATCCTTCGTGATTTCATGAACTACCGGGTTATACGGGCTTAAGTTTGCTAAATCGTCTGCTCTGGCGGATGATTTTCTTACTTAATTTCGTATAATTGGTCGGTTCTGTTACAACTGGCATCAGAGTATGGTTTAGCATGTTACTGTTCACAAGTGTATTTAAAACAAAAAGGCATTTGAAAAAACGTGATTTCTAAACTAAAAAGTGTGCCAGCGGTCATATCCTTTATGCCCAGTTAAGGACTCTAGGTGGCTTAATAAAGTACTGACTTGGGGTTCTTGCATCATATTTCTTTTTCATTGCTCATATGGTGTGCTATTGTATGAGTGCTACTTGTTTGAGTGGTAATGTATAGATCATTTGCCTCTACGCCTCGGTAAGTGTGAGTTGTGATTATGATCGGATACACCGTCGATCTAGGGTGAATGCTTATATGATGCTGGAGTAATTACATGTTCTACGCATGTTTTACAAAGGTATCTCATGTGTGGGTATTTCGTCTGTTGAGGCGATGCCGTCAATAGGACGATGGTTCAGGTAGTTACTACCGTTGTACACGTATCTGGGGATTCGTGTACATTTACTGCTTTCATGCATTCATTGGGAATTGGGCTGAAATGAATCTTCTGCAGGTACATAACCACGCTATCGTGTAGAACGTATTAGCTACGTATTTGAGAGATCGTTTGTATGCCACCGAATTCGTCGCTAGAAATTGTTTATTTCATAAGTTTGTGAGAACGTACGGCACGTACATACATCATATTACTTGTGCATTTCATTCATGTCATGCATTCCTCCCCTTATAAATTGATTATCTCATTTTGATAAAAGTTGTATCACCTAAAATATGTTTCCACGGGGTAATAAAAG